ATTTGTCTAAGGAGTCTTCTCCTATTATTTTGTATTATAGTTTACGTTAAAGCAGAAGTAATAAGAGTACATCAATTCTATGAATTAAATTAAGTAGCCAGATATTTCTATTCTTTTCCTATCAGACTTGTTTCTAATCTACAATCTCCACCATTTTCCTGCAGCTCCAATAAAGAGTAGCCAAGTATCAGAAGCGCATAAAACAGGTTGGTGAGCACGTTCCTCCCACTTGTACTATCTAATCTCTTGGTTCAATATCTCTGCTAATTTTATGTGATTTCGTTATCACGTGGCTTTGTCATATCAGAAGACCATACACAGATGGAGTTAGTAACCATCATTCTCTATCCTTCTGGTCACATCTGTGTTCTCTGTCTACTACCTCCATGAACATCCTGTGTTCCTGGCACAATCAGCTGGTTCCAATATGTCTTCAGAATTGAAGTTGTAGAAGAAATAGCAGAAAATAGATACTGTATACTGTTCATTCTTCTTTTATCTTCAATTTACGCAGATATGTTGGAGTGGGGTCCCAAAATCCATCTGTAGCCCACCTAATATCAGTTAATATTGATAATATTAATCAGCTAATATCAAAGTTACCTCAAATTCTAGGCTAAAAATTTTCCTTTATTCTGCAAAAGATTCTTACCAATATTTCCATCCATTTTTATACTTTCTGCAACAATTACAGTGTTTTACATACCAGCAGAGTTACTCGAAATACACCAAAACTCACCCATGGAGTAAAGCATCGGCTCCTTAACAGTGTACAAGTCCTTCATGGCATCTAACCCGAAATTAGCCACTTCCAATAAGTCCTCCTCATCGGGGTCGCTTTTCCCATTATAGTGAACGTCATAGTTATTTCTTTCCATCGGAGTTACCTCGTCCTTTCTATTATTCTCCACGGTTGTCCTCGGAGAAACTCCTCCCTCGGGATTTCTCTGCAAATATTTTTCCTCGTCCTCTTCCCTCTCTGACGGCCTCGAATTCCTCTCCCGAAGGTCTTCCAGCTTCGAAAATCGATCCTCGTCGGTCCTATCGCCGGCTACATTTCCTTCTAGATTCTTTGGAATCTCCCGATCGAACGGGCTAATCGATTGCTCCACTCGCTCGAATATTCTCCGCACGTAATGCAGAATCTGCTCGTACTCACTCGGATCCTCCGGAATAAATAAAGTTTCTATCGGTTCTGAGACACCGTGGTCTACATCCAAGCCTTTGTCATTACTAGAATCGTTCGTTAATTGGATCGTCGTGTTTGAGGATGCTTCTGTGTACCCTGATTCGCGTGTCTCATGGTTCGTAGCTGCCTTCGATGGAGCCGAGGAGAGAAGAGCGAGGACCCTGAAAGACAATGATCAATGAAACACTTCCACTGACATTAAGTTCCTTATACTAAAACGAAATTCCAATATTTCCAGAATTTACTAGAAAAATAAAACATTTTCAAAGAACTTCCCCGGATAGGCTTCGAATATCCATAATTTAGCAAAGGTATCATCCTGGGTCCCTCTAATTCGACGTAAAGTCGTTGAAAAAATTGGTCCATGCTTCTCGGAAGAAATCCTGGTTTTCCAGGTATCCTGTGCGATTTACACTCCGTTCGTCTCGACCCTGTTGCGGTTTTAATTAGCAACGCGAGGGACGAGCCACGACGATGTCAGTTTCGCATTTTCTCGACCGTGACATTAACTTTCTCACGGGATAAATCGCGCAAAAGAGCACAACGTGAATGGTTGTTTCTGGCACGCGTTGAATACCGTTCGTCGCAGCACGTGCGGCCACCGCATTTGCATACCATCGCGTTAGCCGCATTTAATTGCGCCGATCGCGGTAGACCGATCGACTCCCGATCGACGATACCGTGTGTGCTCTCTGTAGTACGCGACTGCTGATTCTCGTCACGGTAGAATCGAACTGGATCATCGATCACCGACGCGTATGCACGCATTCGTGATATGCAAATACCCGTTACAGAGTTTTTCTACTCGACTGCTCGACCAGAATACCGATCCAGGGGGTTGAATCCGATCCGAGAGAGGACTTCCTTTTCAGAAACAGAGATCCCTTTGTGCATGTCTCTGATCGACTGGACTAAAATCTCGATGGAACCTCTGATGAAAAAGACTGAAATCGGAGGCACGAGTTTTTCTCGATTTTCTGACTTCCCAATCGGCTACGAAGGTATAAAGAATTATTTTTGAAATAAGAAAATTAAGGGCGAAATTAATCGTATGGAAATAACGATATTTTTTATCGAAAAAGGAGGGAATTATATTTTTCACGAATTAAAATATTAATTGTAAGATCGATTGAATTACGAGTGAATTACGAGTATGGTATCATAAGGTATCGGTAATGGGAACGTTATGAAACCCAATGGTCGACTATCACAGGCACGGAGTCGAAGCTAAGATGAGAGGATGGATCAACGTCGGTGGAAATTAATTCGAAGATGAGTAACAACAAAGCGAGGCTGGTTTTGCCATGACCAGGTAACACAAATCTTTATTTGGAATGTGGAGAGATGTAACGGGACCATCGATTGCGAGATGCTGGATACGAGTCGACGAAATGATACTTTCCATGTTAGCCGAACTTCTGATCCTTTGCTCCTCGAGCCAATATCGAAAAATATCCCATAGGTACCATGAAACCTCGAGTGAGCGTAAAACGGTATCCAAAAATCGAAAACGCAATTTGGCATTGTAACGAAACGATGAGACGGATATTTCCGAGTATCTCTATGACATGAGATACGATCTGAAAGTTGTTGCTCGCAACAGCCTATGCTGATATTCGTAAAACCCTTAACCAGAGAGACGGTATAAAAATGGAGAAACTCACAAAACCCAGGGGTGCATGTCAAGGAATGGTCTGTGAGAGCGCAGTGTGAGCTAGACCACGAATCTACCCTCTCTGGAGGATCCAACAGGCGCGCAGATGGTATCCTTGGTGATACGTGGCCTCCTCGGGGACGGTTCACCATGTACTAAGCCTCGTGGAGGCTGATCGACCGGTCTTATCCACGAGGAAGGATGCAGGAGGCTATTTTTTTCTGCTTTTTGCTCGATCGGCCGGTCGTGCACCTTTTTCTCGGATTTTTACTGTTATTCAGGCTGCCCTCCGGGCGTCACCTCTTTGATTTCGACCAGGTTGTTCCGCGATCTACCGCTGGGATATCATGCATCCTCTCTCTTCCTCGTATTTACATGGCGACAGCTGTTCGAGTAGAGATGGAAAGAAGAAGCATTGAATCCGATTCCCGTGGACGCCTGGAGGAAACGCCGTACTCGATTCCAGTTAGAATGGTCATTTGGAGAGGAGCTGGGATTGATACTATGGTAATTCTTGCCTCGTACTATGGTCGGTCTTTAATCTTTGCTCACGATGATTGCTTCTTTCCACGCGTTCCATTGGCTGGCTGGGAATTTTAACGAAGATTTCTCGGGACCCAGGCGAGATCGGTAATAGACGCGAGATGTTATCGGTGTTATTGAGTGTCGGAGGCTGATTAATGCTAATGATGACACAGCTAAGTTAGCATACGCGAATTTACATTAGATTCGACGAATTTTTCAGACATTATTTTTCGATCATTCCAATATTTGCCTGTTACTTGCGAACAAGGCAAGATTTCGATTGACCGGTCACGATCGCGTTACGATCATACGTACCTTCTCAGTGCCTGGCAGCTTTCTCCTGTGCTTGCAAGCTCGCGATCGCCTTGCCAGATCCGTACAACACTTTCGCGCGTACCTGAACTCTTCTGGTGGTGGTGCAAGAGCTCCCAGACCCGGAGGACCCGCTTCCGGCCCCGCCACCGGAAGCCGAGCTTAGCTGCAGCGTGGTGCCTGCATAGTTCGCACCCCTGCAGCTCGTGCAGCCCTCCGACATTCTCGCTTTTCGAATACTCGCTCGTGTTAAATCTCAATGTCTCTCCTGAACCGAAGCACACGGTTAGAATCGCTTCGACGACCAGCCAGACGAGTTGGCTCGGAGAAAAATTTCCCAAATTCCTACTAATTTTTACTCGCCAACTTCTCCCGCTAGCTCTACCAGTTTCGACCCACAATGAGAGATCGCGAATGATAATCAACACTGTTAAAGACCTGATCGAAATTATCTGTTCGGATGATAGGAATCGAAGGTTCAGGCTCGACTCCTCTGTTTATCCCGTTCACCCGATGTAATCCATCAATATGTCGACCCGATCGGCGGTAATTACTCGCCAAGAACACGAATTAATCTCGCGCGTTCTCGCTACTCTTAATCGATACTGCACAACCTTTCGATAATCGCTTGAGCTTATTCCGCGGTGACTAAGCAAATGCCATTAGCCTCTAATACGTCGTTCCTAAGACTTCCATTTGACATCTCGAAATCGCGAGGAATAAATTCCAATTTCCCTGCCGACCTTTAACTCGCAATTTAAGATCCCTCCCCTCTACCCGTCGTTTCCTTCACTCGTTAATTCGCTGATATTTGGTTCCTAATTCGACGCTAACCAGCGTGAATTGTACCACTACCACTCGAATGTAAGAAGCAAAAGAAACAACGGCGTGGACGAGGCACTACAATATAGCGAGCACGGCTCTGACCCGTACGCCGTTCACCATAAATCCGGGAAAATCTGGGTTAATTATACTAATGGCAGTATAAGGCGAGCTTTCCTACCGGCGACCTTACCGGAAAAAGGCGAGACCCGGTAACTTCCCCGGCACGATCGTTAAAGCGAATTTTACGACACGAAGCAAGAACAATGTCCCTAATGGAACGATACTTCTCAATTTTTTACGAACCGCCGCTTTTCGGCGGTAAAAGGGGGAAAAAAAAAGCAAGTCGAAAATATCAGGCTGAAAAAGAGCGTGTCTAACGAGGAAATAATGTCCCGGAATTTTTTCACGCTCGGGGAATTTGCCTTTGGCCGATCCAAGACGAACGAGGGACCGTTCTCCAGAGAGAAGTCGAACAAACGAAACGAAACTCGAGCGTTTAATCTTCACGGTCGTTTTGCGCCGGATTTCTTCGAAGATCCACGAGAGTTCTTAAAACGCACGGCTAGGGTCATCCTCGGAGTTCGTTCTAACAAGGGTCAACCTCCCTCGACAGTGGGACGTTGAAGACCACCAAAGTGGAAGAAAAATAAAGCTAGCGAAAATCGACGAACGTTCCTAAATCGAGCTTCCAAAAGAGGAGCGAGGAAATGGAAAAAATGAAACGATCTCTCGAGTAAGAAGCGAGGAACAGTTACATCCGGTCTTTTAACCCAGTGCCTTACAATCTCTATTCGTAAACTCGCTTGTCCCCGGGATCGTTCAAATTCGATAGCTCCGGAGCGCTATCGTGAACGAAAACTCGGCATCTGCCTGGAACGCACTTTCACCAAAAATGAAGGAGGCGTGAAGAAATTGTAAGGCAACGGATCGCGAGAGTCTAAGCGAAGACGAATTAATCGAGCGCTGGACGAGTATAGGGCGAATTGAAAACGTACACGAGGATCGGGTGACGTTATCCAGTGAAGGGACGAGGCATCCTCCGGCTAGTGCTCTCTATTCGTCGTCCCGTACTCTATGGTAGCTCACTGCCGGTTCACAATCGGCGACGACGTCCGTGCCGGTTCTGCACGTCGACCAAACTGATCGCTCGCGACGGCCTCGTGGTAAGCCGCACCACGGCCGCTCGTCTCTCTTTTCTTCTTCGCCGGGGTCTTGACTGCCGATCTCTCCTTCGTCGTCGTCGTTGTCCTCCGACAACGCGACGTGTCCCCGCCAGGAGGGGACACCCGGAGAAGTGGCCTCCACTCTTCGTCGCTCTTGCCCGCTCTGACTCACGATCCTGAGGTACAGTCGTTCCTGATAACACGCCACGCCACGCCACGGATTCTGATAAGGGCTTTCCCAACGCTTTGCCTCGGGGGACAATGAGGATTCTTCCTCCGGAGGACGCTGCTATTACCGAGTATTGTTCTCTGTTCTTTGCTTCTAGGACCACTTCTTTGTTCCTCCAGCCGAGAAGGACGCGATGGGATGTGTCTTTGTCCGGCTGCTTCTCTTTGCTTTTTGTTAATCAACGTCTTCTTTCTGCTGGGCCTGCCGGCCGTGATGCTCGTACTTGTTAAAAGGCTTGGAAGGCTATCATTAGCGTTATCGCGTAGACTGTAGCATGGTCATTACGGCGAGAAATATAGGGGCAAGGTCTTCGATGGAATCTCGAAAGCGGGATGAAAAGTTGCGGCGAGACACGATTTTTCACAGCTTTCTTGCAGTTTCGGCTCGTGGTCGTCGGGAATTACACAGCTCCGGGACTGTACTGGACCCCGCCGATTTCCATGATCCTTCGGAAGCAGACGAAGCCGTTTCTTAACAAAATGTACCTTCCGGACAAAGAACCGTACTCGAACGTTCGGTTAAGTGGTACAGTTTCAGGCCGAGGTTGCTCGAGGAACACGGCCAGTCCTTTTGCCAGAGATTAGTATCTCGCGGGACAATGAGAGTTTCTGGAAAAGAAAGGACGAGTGATTAAAGCGGAATCGTTTGAGGAAAAGCAGCGTGATAGCAGAACTGACTGTACTGACGTGATACGGGGACATTGGCGAAGGAGGGAGAGGGCATGCAGGGGCCACAGATCGGTACGCAGACCCAACTGCGAAACCTAACCTTCGATCGGTAAAAATTCGACTGGCGAATGGCCGGACCTTGTGCCCCGTATAAGTCTTTCGCAATACGGTTGGTACACGTGTGCGCCAGCATGAAAGATCCGTGTAAAATCGAGCCCTCTGCCGATTCTAGGGCTTGCAGTATCGAATCTCCGTGTTTCGCTTCAGCCACAGTTGTTTCTGTCTGGTTAAAAGAAAATTGATATATTACGTCTCGTGATAAACTTCGCACACGAATGCACGTTTTATGTAGACATAGCAAAGGAAAATTAGCATGACCTGCACGAAGAAACGATTCTCACGTTCATCCCCTAAGTAGAGAAGGTTGTATTACATGATCTCCGATGGAAAGTATTCTTGGAAGACGAGTTTCCTTTGAAAACTGCGTTCCAAGTATATGTACATAATTATCGAGTTACGTTCTTTGAATTGAAATATCGTGTACATCGATACAATGTCGGAGATATCGTCGCGAACGCTTTAAGGAGGTTCCCTAGATCGTAAGAAGTTAATTATTGGCTAGTTACGGAAACGTAAAAAGCGAGTGGAAGAAGTAAGTGTTACAAGTACCACTCCTTGAGTCGTGACAAAAAAATATTAAGTGTTCCTCGAAGTTATCCAGTGTAACCCGACTGAGAGAACCGAGCAACTGGATACCCTTTCCAGAAAGAATTGTTACACATCCTCTGTTCGCGCTTCATAGCCTCGGTTTCAGTGGATGCAAGAAGCGTCATCGAGAAAGAACTAGACGGTCCAGTTCCCTGTCAATAACTGGAGCGACGATGTCGGGTGAATCGATCTCATTGACACCGGATTTGCCAGGAGCTTCTAGCCTCGTTCTACACGAGTTGACCTACTGCTTCGTATTAACGTCGCGCGCTGCGCTGCCTTGTGCCAGCATCCGTCACTCCATTTTCCGAATTTTCCTCGCCTCTCGGCCTCTTTCCGACTAATACATTTCTCTTCCGTTTCTTCAACTATCTCTATATTCGTCCAAATCTCTTAACTTCTCGCAACCTTGCAATTATCTCGATTCAGAGATTGTTTTGCTCCGCCAACGTCATAAATTCAGGATTTTCGTGCTATTCCTGACACGTATTCCGCCTCCCATGCTGCACAAGAAGCTGAGCCAACCCAGAGACTGGTTGCCCGATCTCAATCTTCCGAGCGTTTTCTGCGAGAAGGAGAGCGAATATCAATCAAATTATTACGGCAATCTGGTTCTCGTGACAGCCTCGGGAGCAGTTCCCAGCACAATGCGGCGTGTCGTAATCCTCCGATCGAAAGACGCGTGAACACGGATCACGGATGCGTCACGAGAGTTGCATTTTCGTCGGTCCAAAGAAATCGTGCTCGTGTTTCTGCCTCCCTGACGTCGTTATTAGCGATGGTGGTCGATTGTTGAGAAACTAGGCTGCATCTGCAAACTCGCAGCCCATCGGACGCGTGATTTTATTGGAAACAGATTCTACATGACGGCAGGGCGAGAATTATTCTGTATTGCGAAAAAGTTCGTCTTTTAAATGGGTTATTGGCTACCTCTAGAACAGTTCGCGTTCCCAACTGGATATCGAATATTTTCGCAGCTCGATCCTTCATTTTGCGCACGAGGATACCGGTTATGCGCGTCAGGATTCAGAGGTTTCGCGTTTTTCGCTGTCCGTGACATGTTCCGAGCCAGGTGGAAATTACGAATAATTTTTCCACGAGATTTCAGGGATAGAGCAAGAACGAGCGAACGAAAGACCGATGTGAACCGAGCGCCGCGGTATCCCGCTATCAGTATCGTCAGTGGGTCAGTTAACAACGGGGTCAGCCGAGGGCGAATCCGGACTGCGGGTCAACCAATCGCCTCGTGCGGTTCCGTCCTCCTGACAATGACTATTAACTGTATATGCACCCACAAAACCAAATTTGCCACGGACTGCAGCGCCGTACCTTCGAAATCTTATACCCCACCAACGTCTTCGGCACCCTCGTGACCGAATCCATTTTGTTTGGACGGTAACCGCTTTGCGGACTGACAAACTATAGTTACAACGAGATCTAAACATTCGACGTTGGTAGATTATATTAAAGACACTATTAAGGTCGCAGACGTCTATCGTTCTTGAAATTCAATCTTGAAAATAATATTCTTCGCTGTCTCTTCGGGTTTCCTCGAGATATTTTTTGATTTAGGAGCCAGTGGACGAGACGTGGCGGATAATGGTATAGAGAATAAAGCAGGATTATTAATGCGATTATGAACGCGATTCACCAGTGAACTGGACTACAGCGTGCATACGGTACTGAGCTTCCGGCTCGAGTCACCTAGCGGTTGCTCTTTATCGTGAAGCGATTGTGACTGTGATTAATGATTCCACCGCTAATCCCTCTGCCTTTTGTCCCTCTTCTATCTTGTAATACCAGCGAAATTGCTGTCTCTGCAAGCCAATTGAAACATTCAGATTTTTTCACTCTCGCAGTTTATTCCATAGCAAATGAATCGTGAAATATTAACTTGGATTGGTCTAATCGTTACGTTAAAACGACCTTTGCTAATTAATCATGACTGTCAAGATGGCGATACCTTTAGTGATTTTAGGATCTGGACATGGACCTGGTTTCTGGACCCTGTGGTGATTTTCCAAATTTTCTGAACCTCGTTTGCACGTGGACTTACCATAGTCACGCTACTGATAATTATTAAAATGCCAGAGAATCGATGTCGGTGTCGAGAAGAAGTTGCATGACCTACGAGGGCCACCATTGCTCGGAGGGGATGCCCTAGCAGTTTTTCATTACCGCAGATCTCCTCTTGGGAACTAGCCGGAAGACCAGAGTGCACAATTACACCAGGTGGGGGATAAATAAGGAGTAGGTGGCTCGACGAGATGAGACGAGAAACAAGACGGAAGTGGGTCAGCGGGACTCTCGGTCGTGAGGGTCCGGGTTCATTTCGCCTCTCCTCGAGAGTTACGGCTCGCTCTGGCTAATGAAATAAAACCTATGAAGTGTTGTATAATCGAAATAACGTTACGGATAGCAAAAGAAATATAAATGTGATTTACTCGAGCTTTTCCATGAGTAACCGGTAATTTTGCTCGACTTCTTTTACCGATATTCATGCCATGAGAACCAATTGGACGTGTGTTCGGTGGTTTGAGGATTTTAGGTGTCTATAGCCAGGATTGTGGTAGCTTGTTTGTGTTTCTTCGTCGAGGTTTGGGAGTGGATTAGTGTTTCTTCGGCCCTCCTCTACAGTATGGTATCCTAATTTAGATGAAAAATAATTGACTTCAGTTTCTTCGATAATTTTCATTTATATTTTATACATACATAGATTTCTTTGAATATTTACAAGTAGTTCGTTCTTTTATCTGGTGTTTTTTTTGTTCTTTTTTTCGTTTTTGGAACTCCTGTCTGAGAGGAAAACCCAGGGCTTCTCGAGTCTCAAAATTCGTTTTCCTCCCACGGTAACACTTAACTGCTAATGATTATTTTACACTCAACATCGATAAACACTCAGGTAGAGCTAATAAATTTTCTAGCGTTTTGTTAAGATCTTTCCCAGCATTTTTCTTCTACTTCCTCCTCTCTTCGCGCATCTCTTTCCC